GCAATCAAATGTGGCATTTATAATCAATCCATGATTAATATTTAAAATTTAAATGAAACATTGAATTACTACTTGGTTTGAAAAGCTTTTAAATTATTTAAATTATTTATATGATGATCGTTGTAGATCTGTTTAACTAATGTACTGCATTTTGATGGATGTGTAAGTGAATACTGTCATGTAAATTGGTTATAAATTGGTTGCCAAATAAAAATGATTTACTCAAGAAATTCATTCTAAAACACTGATTTATTCAGGGTTGAAACACAACTGTGTGTTGCTCAGAGGTGTGATTCATTTTGCTTTGGCCGCATTTGGAACTATTTTCATTGGAGGAGCAAAAACTGAAAATGAATGAATAAATAAATAAATAATCACAGCCCTGCTAATATTGGAACAACTGCATTATGCATTCTGTTCACGGAAATCACTACTTCTCTCCCAAAGCTATGAGTTCAGAAAACTTTAGCATGGACTGATTGCAAAAAAGATTGCATCTTTTTAGAAGCTTCAGTTTCTATTCATTGCAATTACGTGGAGAAGAGCGACTAGCACATTATTCAAAACTTCTATTTTTGCATTTCACAGAAGACAGCCAGTCAAACGGATTTGGAATAACATGAGGATGAGTAGATGATGACAGAATGTTAATTTTGGGTGAACTATCCCTTTAATTGTTGTGGATGGATTAGGAATGCGGTTCTAATTAGCGCATGAAACACTTCAAAGCAAAGTTCAAAGTGATAGATTTACCCTCTTTATTGGTTAATCTAGTTTACCACCATCAAATAAACAACTACTTCAGGCTACAAAGAGTTTGATAATGCCTTCACTCTGAATATCCTGACAAGTATGCAATTTTCATTTTATCAGTTGCTTGATAATGCACGTTTATCTGTTAAGTTTATCTGTTCAGAACAAACAAGGGACTCAGGCACAACCATCACAAAAAAAAAAGAAAAAAAAAGTAGATCATCCAGGTAGCCACACACAGTATTAAGAACCAAGGGTTCCCAAACTTTTGAAGGGGGTTATTTTAATAATGTTCGGTATTTTTTTGTCTTGTGGACTATTTGTAACCATCTTTCATGTAAAATATCTTACTCAGGACAGCACTAAATAAAAAATAACATGCATTTTGTATGATCTCTCTTATTTTATTAAAATTATTCACATTTTCACAGATTCTGCAAGGGGTTCCCAAACTTTCGCATGCCACTGTATATATATATATATACGTCTTAAACCCAATGATCATTTTGAAACAATATGCCAACAAAATCTAAATCTAAAATTAGGGCACAGCCTGGTTTACAACTTGTTTTTTTCCTGTGGCCTTTTTCTCATTTAGTTATTAAGTGAGCTTTTCTTAAAGCTTGCCTGAGGCTCAATTCTGTTTAACACAGCTTCTCTCTGGGATACAATAGAAAAGCACACATCCAGCCATGCGGGTCAGCTTGACGTTAGTTCTTGGTGTTGTTTGTTTCCATTGAACATTAGGTCTCTAGGCTCAGTCCTAAAATAATATTTCTTTCTGCATGTCTTATTATGTACATTTCATGTTGTGCTGGCAATTTTTGACGTTGAATGAAATGTTTTGTTATATGAGCGGTAATGGAATATGGAAATTATTATGATACTTTTATTAGTTTGATCAATTCCTATTTTAATATATATATATATATATATATATATATATGAAGCACCTAACCCTGATTGTAAGCCTAAAACAGATATTTCCTGAAAAGTTATCCTGATTAAATTCTGATTGGTTAATTGGAATGTTGTTCCAGGATCAACAAGGATGTTGATCCAGGAACATGTTGTACTTGGCGAAATCACGGTCACCATATATATATATTGCTCTTTTGTTGATTTTGATTGCTTCCATTGTCCTCATTTGTAAGTCGCTTTGGATAAAAGCATCTGCTAAATGTCTAAATGTAAATGTAAATGTAATATTCTTAAAAGTTATATGCTTTTGTTGCAACCCGAAATGATGAAAAGCACTGTGCAGCCAAAGAGGAAATTAGAACAAGTGTATGCTAAAACTAGTCTGTTTTATGATTTAGTAGTCTCTAGGCCACTGATTCTCAAAGTGTGGTACGCGGGCTCCCTCTAGTGGTACGCAGAGGAATCACTGAATTAAATATAAATTAATGTTAAAACACTTTTAAAAAGTTTGTAAGGTGGCTAAATGATGCCTGTGTTATTTTTTTTTGATCAAGTACTGTACATTTTTTACTTACATTTAAGTACAGTACAGTTTTTATTTAACTTTTAGGTACAGTAGGCTACATTTTAATTTAATCATTTAAGCACAGTGCAGTGTTAATGTTCAAACTGTATTTACAATGTTTAAAGTGGCCGACAATAATAAATATTCTTATTAGGAATAAAACTGCCTCGTTTTGGAACTGTGCATAGCTGTAGCTGAATAATTAGGTCTACTACGCTACTGTATATTAATGTTGGTCATTATGGTGGTACTTGGAGAGCCAACTATTTTCTGAGGTGGTACTTGGTATAAAAAGTTTGAGAACCACTGGGCTTTGGAAGTGACTAACAAATGGGGAATTTGATCTGCTTATTAACAGAGGGGCTTGGCAAAGAGGTGAGTATAACCAATCAAAGTGAAGAAAACCTTGCAATTTTTATGCCTTTCCTAACATATAAATGTGTTTATTTTATTTTTTATTTTGTTGCAGTTTTTTGTGACTCTCTGCTGGTTGCTAATAAACCTTATTCCTGTAAAGAGACTTGCGACTGGTGTTATAATGCTGTCATGGCCTAATGGTTAGAGAGTCGGACTCGTAACCCAAAGGTTGCGGGTTCGATTCTCGTACCGGCAGGGATTGTAGGTGGGGGGAGTGAATGTACAGCGCTCTCTCCCACCTTCAATACCACTAATTCCGAGTATGGGTCACCATACTTGGCCACATGCCACATCACTTTCACTTTCATAAGTTAAGGCAGTGATAGTGTTTTTTTGGATGGAATGGCGTCCCCAGGTTAAGGTAGGGCGGGGGCCACCCGCATATAATAGGCAATGAATATGAGGCTGCCCATGCACTTTAAAGTTGTGATGTAACTGAAGTAACAACAGATCATTTCTTTCTTTCTTGTGAAACAGATTATCGAAAAAGAAATTGTAAGGTGGGGACTTGGTTTTAAATAGCTTAAATAGCTATATCAGATTTACCCAACACTTTTTTAAAAGCACTGTAGTAATATTTCACAATATTAAGTTTTTAAATGTATTTTTAATCAACAAATGCAGAATTGGTGAGCATAAGAGACTAGTTTCAAAAACGCAAAAACTTTTGAACTCCATATCTCTTCATCTCTTCATCCAAAAATGTTGTCTTCAGCAAGTTGTTCCAAACCTGTATGACTTTCTTTCTTCTGCTGAACACAAAAGAATATATTTTGAAGAATGCTGGTATAAGCAAACAGTTGACGATAGCCATATACTTTTTTCAGACAATGGAAGTCGATAGCTATTGTACGGCACCCATTCACTGCAGAGAATCCTTTAGTGATGAAGTTCTGATGAAGAAACAAACTCATCTACATCTTGGATGGCCTATAAAGATGAGTACATTTTCATTTTTTGGATGAACTATTCCGTTAAGACTGATGAAAATAGTGGTTGAGAATAGGACTGTGCAGTGATATGTCTTTGAAGAGGTCATAGCTGTGTTTTATGGCATCACTTCAGATGTAAATAATAAAGTAACTCTGTCATGAAATGCTGTTTGATCATGAAATGCTTGAAGATCTAAAGGGATAGTTCACACCAAAGTGAAAATTTAATAGTTTTTCTATACTATAGAAGTCAATGGCTAACTGTTTGGTTACCAACATTCCTCAAAATATCTTTGTTTTGTGTGCAGCACAAGAAAGAAACTCATACAGTTTTGGAACAACCTGAGGGTGAGTAAATGATGACAGAATTTACATTTTTGGGTGAACTATCCCTTTAAGAGGGAACTTTCTCTGGCATAGCTGCATTGTTGAGTCTGTCAGCACAGGCAGAGAATTACAGAGCCCAAGAGAGATCATCATTCAGAATCCATCTCACAGAACCTCACAATGCCTGAATTAACACAAAGCCAGAGTCGCATTGTGCTGCACACTTCATGACCTTGAATGCTGCATAATCATGTAGAATCAACCGCAAATCTCACTGTTTCATGTTACTGTGACCTAGTTTAGCTTGAATACATTTGCACATTTCATTCAAACTTTGACCATTATTTTCATTATACACTTTTTTATGGTACCTTCATATTAAATTACATACACAATTGCTTTTTTAAATTTAACCAAATGGTTCCTTTGAGTTTTAGATGCTTAGCATTTGTTAGTATTTACTTGTGAACATTATAAAACAACAACATTGTTACATGCAGCACTATCGTATACATGATGTAAAAAAATGTATATTTTATAATGCGTCAGTCAGATATATATTCATGAGCATTTGGAATTGTTCAACTATGCGCATGAAGATATTTTCATTGACCTCACACAGACACACGCAGTCTATCTATCTATCTATCTGTCTGTCTGTCTGTCTGTCTGTCTGTCTGTCTATCTAATAGAAAGCTAGTGTTTGTTAGTTTTTTGTTGTTGTTTTTTTTAAAATAAAAAATAAAACAAAAAAGAAGATAAATATAGATAAAGTAGAATTAAAATAGAATAGAAAGTGCTAGAGTTAGAGGGTCAAATAAAGGTGTATCTATCTATCTATCTATCTATCTGTCTATCTATCTATCTATCTATCTATCTATCTATCTATCATTAAAGCAAATCTAAACAGACAATGATAAATCATTATTACCGCGTGTATAACATTGTAACAATAGTGAAGTTACTGTCATCCACTGGCCATCCTTTACATTACAGCGCGTTGAACAGCACGGGAATGAAATATCAGTCACATGATGAAGGGGGCGTGGTTCTCGTAGCTATGAGCCAATAGGAGCGCACGTCAACCCGAGCTCTGTAGATCAGGGAATAGAGCATGAATAACGGTACTCCACAATATTTACTGAAATGTTTCATCGCCACACCAACGACGGACATCCATGGCGCATATAAATAAATCATAAAAGCAGCCAATACTGGCCTTTCCGTCTATAGCTAGGGACGAGCACTTCAGCACTGCGAGCTATTAATTATTCACTCTTAAGATGGCCTGGATCTGGAAGGTAAGTCGAGCAGCTGAGTGTTTGTCTCGCCTCATATCCAGTAATGCATGGATGCGCGTTAACGTGCTGCTCAGATTGCATTCGCAATGTTGGTATTTTAAAATCAGAAGTGTGCAACGAAAATCGGAGGATTCTGCTAATAGCTTGGGTAATGAATGTAACTGTGTGGTAGAAGCTTCATGTCTTGTAACATTGTTCAAGTGCGACACGTGTGATCACTCAGTTTGCTTACACTTTGCAACCAGATTTATTTGATGTATCCTGGTTTATGCAATAATAAGACTTGTATCCAAACATGTCGATGATGAGTCTGCAAAGACCTTTCGCTGTAAGAGACATACAATGCAATAAAGTGATTCGTTTTAATGTAATATGCACTTTATTACAACCAGTGATGTATATTTATGGTTTTTATATCCTCCTTGAGATTTCACAACCTTCTATTCAGAAACAAAATGAAGACCTTCATGCATCAGGATACCACTACTCATGTTTTTTTTTTTTTTTGGATTGTGATGGATTGTTATTGTGATGTGAAAAAATACAGTAAAAGCAGGTTGCATTTTCAAACATGCTTGAATCTCTGGCCTTGTGTCAATCGGAAAAAAACCACACTCTAAAAACCTTTAAGAAGTGTTGATTTTTTTTTTGCAAATTTTCAGACATGGGCAGTAAGTTATAAAAAAGGAGAAAAGAACATATTAATTCAAAAATAGCTGATACACAACTTTTGCCTGATTTGTAGTCAATGCAAGTTGCCAAAAGTCAGAGGCAGTCTGCAGATTTTCAGTAGTCGGAAACTTTTGTAGTGATGGGTACGGGCTCCAATTTTAACTTCAGATTCAGATTCCATCCAGTCTGGAGATATCAGACTTGTTTGATATTTTGAGCTGATTTTAGAACACAAATAATGTTGACTAGCAAGAAGGCGCATGTTACTGCTTGAGTTGTCTTGTAGTGTGATCCTCAGTGTATGATGCTTATAAAAGTTGTGTAGTGTATTCCAGCCTTAAATCACAACTTCTAATTTCCTTTATATATCATCTTAGTTCTTGTAGTATTTGAAAAATTAAACACTTTATATGTCTTTCTCTAGTTTGTTCAGCTAGTGTTGTTCACCAATGTGTATTAAAGCTGAAGTGTGTATTGTTTTTGTAGCCACTGGTAGGTTGATTTGTGCTATCAAAACTTATAACTTATATATAACTTGTTTGCTTGAGCATCCTGTTGAGAAATTTACAGTTAAAACCCAAGGACCAGGTGTGTTGAATGAAGACCAGGAGTCAGAGATGCAATCAACTGAAGAAAAATATACTGAAGAAAATAGTTTGCAGTTTCATCGGCAGAAGCCAGCATCAATACTCACTCTCTTACATGCTCGAAACACCAGTAATTATACTAATTACTAATTACATCAATACATAGGTAAGCAAGATTCTGGTTGGTAGAAACATATATAAACTTAGAAAATCTTTAGTGGTCGACCGATATGGGTTTTTTGACAGCCGATACTGATGCCGATATCTTGGAAAGCAGGGTGGCCGATGGCCGATATAAAGCCGATATAATTGTATTTATTTTAATTCATATTTAAGAAATTTTAAATCATTTGAAAATGGATTCAACAGCGAACAAGAGGGAGAATGTGAGCACTGTGTGCTCAGGCGCCGCCGCAGCCATTCTCAGCACCGTCAAAATAAAACTCTGACGCGCCGTCAAAATAAAAGTCTCGAACACATCGGCCAAACAGAAAAACTTATCGGCCGATGCCGATATTTGAAAAATGGCAGATATCGGCCGATATATCGGTCGACCACTAAAAATCTCCACACATGGATGTAAAACTTAAAGCATATCTTCTAGTGATTATTTTGGTGACAAGTGATCATAGGTCAGACGCAATAGGTCTCTCCAGAGACGTATATCGGATACACTGGACATCAGGGTGACGGCAAATGACGGTTTCCTCCTAGGGCTCTCTCCGCATCTAGCTGCAAAGACAAACACTCGCACACATACGCACACATACGCAGAGAACACTTATCTGTACTTCAAGGTTGCCGGGCTCTGCCCTGAATCTTAACAAATATGGTTCACTAAACACACACAATGAGAGCAGCTTCTTAGAGAGTAAAAAGGCAGACTAAAACCATATTCAACTTATTTTCTAACATGGATAAATGTACCTTGAATTAATAATTATTCAAGAAGAAACAAATATATATATTATGAAGGTCGCGATGTCTCCAGGGTTCCACTCCTTCAATCCCAACCAGCCTGACAAAAGCATCTTCAGTTGCTTTTCCACAGAACTGCAAAACAATGATTGTTTTCAGACAAGTTTCCTGAATACAGCCTTCGTCGCCAATTGGTCAGAGACACAGATAGGCCTAGTTCGGCACCCAAAAAAATGCTATTAGTTTAAAGACAGTAGCCAAACGTTCGTCAAGCCAAATGTTTCTAAAAATGGTAACAAATTATTTCAACTTGAGCTTGGTTCAGAGTTCAAAGTGGAAATCCGTACTGGTTGGGCGGATCAGCACGGAATGGAACGGCTAAGAAATAAGAATGGTTGGGCCAAACTGCTCTTGTTGCTTAACCGTTCCATTCTGTGCTGATCCATGATTTTGGGGGTGGAACTATCTGTGTGTCTGACCAATTGCAGGCAAAACCTGTCTGAAAACAATAATTGCTTTGCAGTTTTGTTTGGTAACACTAGGGCTGCAGAAATCACATTTCAGTTTTAGGGAGCCGGCTGTGTAAAATTGTGCAGACTATGCATAACCTTCTATATTGTGTGTTTAAAATGTTTTGATTTTGTAAATATTCACAGTGAATGCAAAACCCTGTTTAACAGTAATGTTTAAAAGAAACAGCACTTACCAGCTGTATGGAAGGGATGCAAAGGGTTGTTCAACAAGTAACAATTTTAATTTAAATTACAATGCTTGCATGCCATTCATTGAAACTGAAGACATATAATCAGGAGATTCCTGTGTGGCTGTAAATAGCCTCAGTTGGCTGTACTGTCTGATAAAGAGGAGCCTTTGTCAGCACTTTATCATTACCCTTAATCTATACGTCTGCATCAGACGGCAAACAGAGAAGAGCAACAGATTAACTATTTAAAGCTGCTCATATAAAATACATGTTCCTGCTTATGTGGACGTGAAGTGTTGGAGTTCCATTGGAATTCCTTGAATTCTCTTTAAGCGCATTGCTTTTCTTCTGGACAGTTTGGATGGTTTTGTGATGGTAATGTAACCTTCAAGAGCTGGTCAGAGTGCGGTGTGCCACTGAGAGCCTCTTTGTAATCGCTGAGAATTAGTTCCAGCGTTGTCCACTTCACAGGGCCACAGTGGTCAGTTCGGCCTGCGCTCAGCCTTCTGCATGCATACTTCACTGTAAAAAGACCTGCAACTGTTACCTTAAAGAGCTATTTCTACTTGATCAAAACATTTAATTTAGTTTGATGTTGTGACTTAATGTATTTAGGTTGATTCATAATATTTTTAATATGTTAGGAAGCACAATTTATATACAAAAATATATAAAAACTAATTTATTATTACTAATTATTCCTAAGACAGTAATATATTACTATTAAAATAAAATATTTAGAATATTTTGTTTTACTTTGTTGTATTTAAATTTCAATCATTTCAACAATTTATTAAATTAAGTATAATAAAACACAGCTTTTTGCAATTTGATAAGCATAGTAAGCCAGATTGCAATTTCGATTTTAGTTTTAATTGAGAAGTTATCTAGTAAATTATCTTGTAATTGATTGGAAACACTGGGTAGTGTAATAAGAGCATTTATATTAGACTGTCAAACTCTCTAAAGGTTTACTTTGTGTTTATTCTGATGAATTTGCTTGTAATGACCTAGTGATTTTAATAGATTATGTAGACAAAAATAAATTTTATGTGTGTTTTAAATGGGAAGAATGTCTTAAATGGATAGAGTTATGACTGAAATGAAGACAATCTGGGTGTTGCAATTGCAAATATGTTAAACATTTGAGAAAGTATTAAAGACCCAACGAATCTAAATCCAGAGATTATCAGTAAGATCATGAGAAACAGACAGTTTGGATGGGATTACACACAATTCTATTAGGCTAATTTTAAGAGGTTTAACTGGAGTGGTCCAACAGTCAAAAACAAGCATTTTGCGTATTTGTATTGACATAAACACAATAGGAGAGAAATGCAACTATAGGAGTTATTCAGCATAGAAAACTTTACTTTTAAACACAGGCTTGCATGATATTAGTGCAATCAGCCAATTTAAATGAGCTTTCTCTGCACACATTGTATTCTGACTAATCCAGCTCACACACACATACTGACTTCACATTTGGTGCATTGTACATCTTAATGCCACTGTAAAGGGGTTGGTAAGATATTTTTTTTTTAAACGTCTTTTATGCTCGTCAATGCTGCATTTATTCAATCAAAAATACAGTAAAAATACAGAAATATTTTTTAGTATTCTTTGTTGAATAGAAAGTAAAAACATTTTTTTTTTTATATAAATTTTGTTAACATGATAAATGTCTTCACTGTCAGTTTTGATAATTTTAACGCATCCCTGCCAGGGTCAGAAATGAACATTTCCATTAAAGGTTAATATTCCCTCCCTTGTATTGATTTCCAGGTGCATTTTTTTGTTAACATTCATCAGGGCAATTTTTATAATTACCTTATTAATTGTATCTGTGTCGTCTGTAATGCCAAATACTTAAAGGGGTCATATGATGTTGCTAAAAAGGACATTATTTTGTGTATTTGGTGTAATGAAATGTGTTTATGCGGTTTAAGGTTTAAAAAACATTATTTTCCACATACTGTACATTATTGTTTCTCCTCTATGCCCCGCCTTTCTGAAACGCGTTGATTTTACAAAGCTCATCATCGGTCTGAAAACCGAGCTGTGCTCTGATTGGCCAGCTATCCAGTGCGTTGTTATTGGCCGAATACCTCAAGCGTGTA